ATGAATTGCATTTTATTTACTGATAAAAGGTGTGAAATTTTCTTCGCAAAATCATTAAATACATACATTCATCAGATTAACGTCAAACGAATCACATAATCAAAAATATCGATGACCGCCAATTTGTCGTGTTTTTACATATTGCAACACTCATTGTATTGAAGATAGAAAAACGGACTTGAAATTTTGCTAAATTTGCGAAACTAACAAGAAGTTCCGAGACATTTCTTCTTGTGTCTATTCAAGCTGTACTTGTCGCTGAAGAATCTGTTGCAATTTTCGCATAGAGGTTTAGGTTGATGTTTTTCCTTGTGAAAGGTAAGTGATGACCTACAATTGTACTTTTTTCTACAATTGGGTTCTTTGCATTCGTAAATATATGGTTTCTTGTGCGTTTTCCAGTGTTCTCTATTTTCTTTGGAACTGTTCGTGTGAAAAGTACATCCGACAAGTGGACACTCACGAATTTCCTTTTCTGAAAAACTCTTATAACATCAGGCGATCATGAAGGATCGGATATGCAGTCCGATTTTTAATAAGAATTAATTTTAAAAAAATAGTCAGTTCTGCTAATAATTACTGTTGTTGTAATACATAGGATATAAAGAGAATGACTACAAAACAGATCAAAAAAACAATGTTAAAACGAGACTATAAATTGGCTCTGTTGTGACAATAGCGCTGAAAATGCCGCACAACTTCTGATGCTTACACATATTTCTCAAAATATGCCCGAACTGTGAATGTGTTGCAGTTAGGTCTACAACGAATATTTTCTAAATGCTGCCTCACTGCGCCAAAAGAAATGGACACTTTGCCGCAGTTTGGCTTCATTTTCTGCATTGCAATATTTATTGAATTTTGCATTGCTCCTCCATGGTCGCGGATGTTCTGCAGCACATTTTTATGTGCATCCTGCTATTCCAGATAGAAAAACGTGCTTGAAATTTTGCTAAATTTGCGAAACTAACGAGAAGTTATTAAGCATCGCTTCATGTGTGTTTTCAAATAGCCCTTGCTGCAGAAAAATTCCTTGCAGTTTTCGCATTGAAATTTAGGTTGGCGTGTTTCATTGCGAGAAGGAAACGATGACGTTGGCCCACAATCGGGTCGTTTGCGTTTGCAAATAAATGGTTGGTCGGG